TCTGTAATATACTATGTAAAGTTTCCAAGTATTACGTGAAGTATTTGCCCTATTTTTCGGTAGAAAACTAGTTATAAAAATAATAATAAATATATTAAAGTTCCATTAATAAATAGTGAGTTAAATCATTTTGAAGTGATAGATGTGTTAAAGTTATTAAGAGTTTTCTATCATAATCATGCGATCCTATTTGCCCTTCGAACATCCCCAAAGATCTCATTACATAACCTGGATTATTACTATAATAGTTACTTGTTAAATCTAAAATAAATATATTATATGATGTATGATTAATTATCTCTATGTTTAGAAGATATTAGAAAGACTTTAGTAAGGTGTGAAGTTATTAAAGACTTTCTATCATCAGGTGATATTTTCATTTTACATTTACACTACAAGATATTTTTTTATTGTGTAAAGATAGAAGTTTAAACTCTAAAATAAATATATTCTAGTCGTTAATTATGTATTTATGCAAAATAAAGTTTTACTGTCAATACTTTTAAGCGTTGCATACATTTATATCCCATCAATCTATAAGGGATCCAATTAATTTCAATTATAAACGTCCTTTCTTGAATAAACATTTGTCATTACCGATAAACATCGAACGTGATTGTAATTCTCAATTATTAATTATGGAAACTACTGAATTTCGATAGATGAAAATTTATTTAAGAACATGATTGATTAAAATGATGATTAATAGAAGTTGAAACATGTTGATTATTCCCATCAGAAGAATCATAAGAGCAGATATGACTTCAATTAATTACAAGAACTTCATGAACATCTTATTGGAATAAATTGTTTAATTTATATATATATATAGATATTATTATCATTATTATTTAAGTAACAATTTCTCTTAAAAATATTCCAATTATTCAGAATAAATTTTTTATTTAATCTTTACACAGAGTTAGTTTTGTGGTTGTGGTCTACACTATAACATGCCCTTCCACTATGCCCTTCCACTCCACCAAATAACGATACATGTAAAACTGTAAGGCCCTAAACTATAACTTATAACAGGCCCTCCTCTTTCACCAAGTAATGATACATGTAAAGAATAAGGCCCTAAACTGAAGCTTATGCGCAAACCGGCCCCAACCGTCAATCGATAAAAAAAGGAAAAAAAAGGAAATTGCATGACTGGTAATTTTTTATCTTAAAATAATTCAAAATTTTAAATTGACCATAAATTAATTATTTAACCAGAAAATATAATAGAATTGTTACTTTAAATATTAATATAAATGATTGTTGCTACCCAGAAGAGTTTTATAATTTAAAGATTTAGTACAGAAAAAAATTCATGTAAGAACGTCTTATGGATGAGGCAATAAGGCTTTTCTGATGACTTATATACTCTTTAAATCCCAATAGGGTAAAAAAAAACTATATTTACAAATGAATAAAAGATAGATCCCGTGGCAGCCAAAATGCTTGTTTGTATCTGTCAAAAGAAAGAAGTATAAGAATAAAGGAAGCAGAGAATGCTGAAAGTTTGTTCAACGTATACGAGATATAAAATTAAAGTAAATAAAGTAAAAAAATCCATTTTTAAAAAATTGTTTAGACTATCAATTTAAAAAATTTTAGTTTAAACTTTAATATTAGAAATAATAATCTCATTTTCTATTTTCTTGTGTATAAAGATTAATAATTAGTGATACAGGAACGATAAGATTACTTATATATATATATATGAAAGTATATATAATGCATATATATATATATATATATATAATCTCGATATGTCAACAGAAACTATTGGTGCTTACCTGAAAGATGATTATGGAGAGCACTAAGTAACCAGTCCATTGTCTGGCTTGATCAGAGAGGTAATTGAAAAACAGATCAATGGAAAGTCATTGCGATCTGATCTACCAATCAAGGACACACAAAATTACAATATATGTCATTCCATTCTATCATATTTTCCTGATGAAGAACCATAAGTGGTATTTTCCATCATGTGATGCTAAATATATAATATAGGAAAAATCTTCAAAGATGATTAATGAATATTTAATTGTCAATGTGCTGAAAGAAATGAGTAATTTCTGTATAAAATAGAAGAAGTGTTAAAGCAATAACAATGAAAGAAAGATAATTTCAATTGCATAAATAATGTAAACTTTTTTTTATAGATTAGCTTAACCTTTTATATCTTCATTGAAGTAACAAGTAAAAATTCTTTAAGAAAATCTTCGCTGAGTGGTCGAAATAGCTTTAAGGCAACAAGTTAGATAGGTGATGAGAAAACTACGTGACCAGCCAATATAAGAAATACCTTTGTAGCCACTCACATGGGGATTACCGGTCATAATGCGACATTAAGAGAAAGCCAAAACCAGAGAAAGCTTCTCACCTTTTTTTTATGCCCATTTTCTTAATAGCTTTGTTTAAAATAGAAAGTATTTCACTCGTCATCTTTCTCCAAAGAAATAAAATATTTTACATTATATTTTACGATATATTTAATTTAAAAAATAATAAAATCGAGCTCGGGATATTAAAAAATAATAAAATCGAGTCCCGGATAGTATAGTTGATTATAAAATGGTCTATTTACAGTTCGGTTAACCGAAGTTAAGAGAAGAGTAAAAGAAATCGTTCTCCTTCATCCCCAACGATTATATTATAAAGTAACCTCTAAGACACAGGAAGCAGATCGATGTCACAACAGAAAAGAACTAGACCATTGGGTTTTACCATTGATCTTGTTTGCTATTAAATCCCCAAACTGCAATCTTGTCTGTTTGCACAGCAAAGAAATAGCGGTTCCAAGAAGTAATTCTGTAGAGTCGCAAAGCAAGTAACATTACTCGAGAGAATTTTAAAAAAAAGGAAGAAAAAAATAAACTTTTTTTTTCAAAATGGAGATGTTCAGCACCCATCGAAAGAGAACTGTAATAAAAACTTAACTTTGATTTTTTTTATTAGTAGAAGCAGGTTTTTTTTTAGTTTCGAAAATTGAATAAACAGACAAAGATTTGAAAGGAAAAAGTTGTATAGGAAATAAAGAAAATGTTACTTTGCAAGTGAAGTACATTAGCTGTTTCTTCGCAGTTCTGGGAAACTTTTTCTCTCAAACACCTGATGCTATTCCAACTTGCAACTTTCCATGCTCAACAATGTCAGATGTAATCTATTGTACTAATTAAATCAATACACTTCTGGATAATATTGCAATTTAATTAAATAAATATATTAATTAAAATGTAATTTTACCTTCAATTCGAAAAATTAAATGTTTAAAAATATATAAATCAATTTAACATTTCTAGAAATAAGAAAAAAAAGCTCATATAAACTCTTTTATGTAAGGTCTGACTATAAATTACGTAAAGCAGATATAAGTGGATGTGCAGGGTTTAGGGAAACTCGGGGCTCAGCTATACCCCATTTCTGGGGGTTTTCAAATAGTAAATAATTTTGTAAGGCATATTGTTTCCTTCATGCACTTCTCTAAATATTTGTAGATCCGCTATTATATGCAGGTAATCGTTACGATGCGTTATAACGAAATGGAGATGTTTACGTAATTCCAGAATCTAGGGTTTGTATCTTATACATGTAATTAATAAAATAATGTGAATTTTGGTACTTTGTATTGTGTATTATTCCTTAGTGCGTTACGTAATTTATGAACGATCCTATATTGAACGAAAATACATCATTCTTTATTAAGAAAATAAAAAAAAAAATTGAATTTAATATCAAACAAAATTAAAAATTTTAATAATTTATTCGACTTTGTTTTTTTTAATATTAAAATGACACAGTTAAATTTATTTCTGATACGTATAAGAATAAAGGAAGCAGAGAATGCTGAAAGTTTGTTCAACGTATACGAGATATAAAATTAAAGTAAATAAAGTAAAAAAATCCATTTTTAAAAAATTGTTTAGACTATCAATTTAAAAAATTTTAGTTTAAACTTTAATATTAGAAATAATAATCTCATTTTCTATTTTCTTGTGTATAAAGATTAATAATTAGTGATACAGGAACGATAAGATTACTTATATATATATATATATGAAAGTATATATAATGCATATATATATATATATATATATAATCTCGATATGTCAACAGAAACTATTGGTGCTTACCTGAAAGATGATTATGGAGAGCACTAAGTAACCAGTCCATTGTCTGGCTTGATCAGAGAGGTAATTGAAAAACAGATCAATGGAAAGTCATTGCGATCTGATCTACCAATCAAGGACACACAAAATTACAATATATGTCATTCCATTCTATCATATTTTCCTGATGAAGAACCATAAGTGGTATTTTCCATCATGTGATGCTAAATATATAATATAGGAAAAATCTTCAAAGATGATTAATGAATATTTAATTGTCAATGTGCTGAAAGAAATGAGTAATTTCTGTATAAAATAGAAGAAGTGTTAAAGCAATAACAATGAAAGAAAGATAATTTCAATTGCATAAATAATGTAAACTTTTTTTTATAGATTAGCTTAACCTTTTATATCTTCATTGAAGTAACAAGTAAAAATTCTTTAAGAAAATCTTCGCTGAGTGGTCGANTATATATATTTTATTTATTTTTAAATTTTTTCTCCAATTTTTTTTTTAAATTACGGAATTTTTGCATATAAATAAATAAAGTGAATACCTTTATAATTTTATATTTTAAAATAAAATTTAATTATATTAAAAATTTTCATGATTATCTCCTTCTCTCGGACATTTTTAACACGCGGCGAAACCTCTAAACAACGGACACTGACGAAAACATTTAAAAAATGGCCGTTTTTGGAGGTTGTTTTGTGTGCATTTTAAAAAGAAATACCCCCGAAAAAATGGCCATTGGTGGGACGTGGCCGTTACTGGAGGTTATTAATATTTAAGTTATCAAAATGAATTTATCCAAATTTTTAATGGCTTTTTTAATATTTAAATTATATGAAGTTTTAATAAAAATAAAAACAAAAATTTTTTTAAACTTTTATTTTATTCGAATTGCGTTAGAAAGAACATTTTGGCGATGGATCAGACGTCTTCCACCCTAAATAAGGGAAACGGTGGTTGGACGTCAGCCTTCAAGGCCTCATACGGTCGATCTTGGAAGAGCTAATAATAAAAAAAAAAGGATAAAAAATATATACATTTAAATTTACAGTTCTGTATTTTAATACATTAAAAGGATAATTAAAGTTAATGCTGAAACAACTTCTATATGGCATTAAAACGTTATATAAAATTTAATTAATTAATTATTTCTACAATTATGTAAATTGAATTATTTTATTATTTTTATTTCGATCTTTATGGGAAGATTTTGATGATTAACGTTTTAATTGGTGGCGCCATCTGTCGTTTAAAATTTAATAACCCGCCACATTAATCGAAATATACCTGCCTGGTGATGTACAAGTTGTCTCCTTTTTTGTCTCGAACTGTTGGACGATTTAATGTCCGAACGATGGATATTGGTGTTTGATCTCCCACTGACATCTCGGGTATTGTGTCATACGGTGTGGCGTAACAATGTGTTTCTTCTCTGGTGCCTGCCACTGTAAACGAAATTAAAGAAAGAGATAAAGGCAATTTTTTATTACAGCAAAATTTTTAAAAATATTTTTAAATCGATATTTTTAAATTTAAGGATGTTGTTTAGTTTAATAACTCTTTGTAACACGATTTAAATATTATTGTAGATAAAACATAACAGATGGCGCCAGAGGTATAATAACAAATAATAGTAAAAAAAATAAAGTTTTACTAAAGGATAGTATAAAATAAATTATAAAAAAAATAAATAAGAAAACAGAAAAGAAAAGAACAAACAGTTGAGAAAACAACCAGCAACAAAAGTTCACCGGAAGAAAATGATAGGCTAACTTCCTGTAATGGGTACCACGGATGATACGGGACGGCTGACGTCATCTCCTGAGATTCCTATTGGCTGTTGATTTGAACCGTTGTTAGTTATGTCTTTCAATGCCATGGCTTCCAGACCTCCTTGGCGAGATTTTGAGCTTCCGGAACCATCTACAATAAGTAAAATAACTATTATTAAGAATATTTTGAAAGATGAATGGGGAGTTTGTATATTTACCACTGCTTATCGTGCTTCTGTGCGAATTTCGCCTCCTACATAAAACGCAACCAACAATAATGATAATGATAACAATAACAGATGAGGTGATAACGGGGATCAGAAACGTAATCTCTAAATAGAACGGGGCGAGTTCTGAGGATTGAGGCTGATGAATTTCAATAACTGAAAGTGTATACTGAAATTAGATGATGATAATTATTTTTAGATGTCTCGATTTTTTTTTGTTTTGAAATTACCTTCCGTTTCGTTTGAAGTCTGAAACTCGTATTGGGCTTCAGTGGCTCCTGCACTGCTATAGGCAGTTACTTTTATTGAGTACCAAGTTCCAGGAGTTAAAGACTGTATCACATATTTTGATTGATCAGACGGCAATTTAGTTTCCAAAGATGACCACTGACTTTTATATTTAGGTTTGAGCTTGAGTGTGAACTCTTTGATAGGGCATCCTCCATTTTGCCAACTGGATAGGTGAAGAATGGATGAAGTCGAATTCGGTTGGACAAAATCTTCTTTAGAAGGTGATACTGGTGCTGTATGCGAGTAAGTTTCTTTAAGAATATTTCACTTTGTAAAATAAGACATATCGAAACCAATGACAATTACCTGCACCAGATGTTGTGGCCTGAACAATTTCACTAGGTTCACTTCTTCCTACGCTATTGTGGCAAACCATGAAGAATTGATAACGGGTGCCACAATCTAGGCTTGAAATGGTATAAGTACTGGTTTGAGTGATGACTTTGGTTTCTTTCCATTCTCCATATTCCCTCTTGTGATGGAGGACGCACTCTGTAAAAATATATTGGTCAAAAATATTATATTCGGTTAAAGTATAACGTCTTCGGAACTATCTTTTTTCCTACCTTTTACGGGACTTGAAAACGTCCTTTTATGAGACCAGCTAAGAGTAATGGATGAAGTAGTTGATGTCACAATGTGAAGAAATGGAGCAGTTGGAGGTACTGTATGGAAAAATGTCTATCAGACTTATAATATATGAGAGTTATTATATAAGTGAACCAATTTTGAAATATCAAAGAAGGAAACGTAACCGAAACGATACGACAGATCAAATTGATAGAATACGACATTTTATGCTTAAATATAGCTTTATATTATTAATTGTATAGTGAATTGACTTGAGGAAAATTGAGTTGCGATTGTCAAATTTTTTTTAAAATTTAAATAATAGATAGTAAATGCACAAATATTGACAACTTAGACTACATTTATGCATAAATTTGTTTAATAATGCGATTGTATAATGTATAGACAAACTGATGTATTTATATATTAAGTTATATAAATATTTTCAGCAACTATGAGAAAAACGTCTTTTAATTATGATATTTTGATATTTGTAGCTAAATACATACCGTACACTTTCCCTAACTCCACGAGGAACTAAGATTATGGATATGTATATTTATAATTAAATTTTACCTCTATTTATTTTATTTTATCCTCGTGAATTACAGAAAAGATTAAGAATTTAGCGACAAATCCCATTTCCTTATAGTTACTGAGTTACCGAGTGGACACGAACACTGATAGTTGGTTGCGGGTTTGCGCCTCACCAACGGGCTGGCTATGTGATGTGGAGTTTTTCCAAATTTTCTTCGTGTGTCTAATATCTATATACGTGATATTTTCCCATAGAAAGTCCTTCCGGGAGGCTTCCTATCTTAACAGATCGCACATGAGTTGCGTTGTTATATCTTATCAAACTATTGATACTGAGTATATTTTTATGTTTATTTATATATATAAACGCTTTTTTCTAAATATAATACTAACAAAGTATACTTATATTAGTATTGCATTTATTAAACTTAGCATTAAATTTATTTAGTAGCCTATTACAGTATAGCAGCAATATCAATTATATTGATAAATTTAAATTGTTATAAGAATAGCTAATAGATAGATTAAGCATAAGGATGAAATTATTTTTTTTAATAAATACAGTATTTACATTATATGATTTTATTTATTTATATTATTTACATATGATCCATTAAATTGCAATAAGTGTTAGTTATCAATAACAATAATTGGGAAACAAAGAGGGGTGGTTTTTTAGTAATTAATATAAACATTAAATTAGTGTGTTTGAGACTACTGGATGATCTCAAATTTATCAAGGTTTCAATTGTAAGTGATTATTGTATAAATTTGAGATCATCCAGTAATCTCAAACACACTATTTTAGTGTTTATATTAACTGTCATATATTATTCTAATAACCACCGTGACGATAATCATAAAAGGAAAAAAACAGTTTTTAATAATTTTTTAATGAAAAGATTTCGATAACTTTTTACAATAACAAAAATTTTTAGATATTCTCTAACACCGAGATTATCATTGATTATAAAAAAAAAATATATTGCAACGTTTATGTCGTTATGCTAGTTATTTATTATTTTGCAGGAATTATTATAACTGTATAAAATTTTATCTGTGAGGCTAACTTTTTATTTTCGTAACTTTTTCCTTATATCTATAAATGCACCCATCGGTATCACAGTGGATATAACCATTGAACACTGGTCGCTGACTCGCACCTCAATAACAGACTGTCATATAGAGTTTTCAGGGGGGGTTTTGACGTGTTTACCTTCTAAATGGGGGCAAGTTTTTAATACTGGCCACATGGATTTAACGAGTTTTCTTCGCGTTTCTAACACCTAATAGGAGGAAGGTATCCCCCTTGGTAGATCATCCATGTGTTGCGTTTCCTTATTCCACCAATCCAAACCACAAATGACGCTTATTGAAAACAGTTTGAGCGTTTCTCCTTCGGATGTTTCGAAATTGGTTCACTTTAAATTGATTCTGCTTGGATAAAATTTATTTACGCGAAATATTTTTTTTCTTCTCGCGGGCGAATTTATCTTTACTCAAAAAATATAACCAAAATTCTTAAGAGAAATTAAGAAATTTAATAGAGTCAACCCGTGTAAACGGTGCAAGAAGCTCTTCATTTAACGATTTTATCTCACAGATAAGAAACGACTTTATGCTTTATTAAAAGTTCCATTTTAATTAAAACAATTTATAATTATGTTAAAAGTTTGTAATTAAGTTTTAAAAAAGTCATTTAATTATTCTCAGTTGCGCGAAAGACAATAATTAATTACGACGAAACAAAGTAGCCGAAAATTCTTTTCTGCAGTTTCATAAAATAAATTACACATTCGAATAAATTAAAGTCACGAATAGGGTCGAGGAATAATATAAAAATTTTGAAAAATTCATTAATTAAATGAAAGAATAGTAAGTAATAGAGGAGCATTTTCACCATCTGCTAATGTCTGAACTACCAACTCATCGGATCGAGGTCCAGTTCCTTTCCCATTAAAAGCCTGAACGGAAACAGAATATTTAGTAGATCTTCTTAAATTAGTCAGATGAACTTCTAACTCTTTTCCCGAACTCAGGTTAATGGTTTTAAACAAGGCTTGATCGTTAGACGAAAGGATTTTGTACCCAATAAAATATCCTGTGATGTTGCCATTCCACAGTGATTTATTAGGAGGCTGAAGAAGAAATCATGCTTTAATCCTGATCAATTTTTCAAAATTACCGAGCGAAAGCCATAACCCACCTCCCATGATACTTTAATAGAATTGGGTCCTGTAGGTGATGCTTTTATTCGTAGCGGCGGCCCTCCGGGTACTGTTTTAATAGATAACAATGCATGTAATATATTCTGTTATACTTTTAAAAACTATTTTTTATATAAAAATACCTTCTTCGTCCGTTGAGGTTGTTATAATTTTACTTAAATTACTTTTGCCTATGGCATTTTCTGCTAAAACGCGCAAAATATAATACGTAGCGGGTTGTAAGCCAGATATTGTAGCTGTAGTGGAAATTCCAGATATACTGATATTTTGCCACTTGTCTATAATAAAATTAGAAAATATTTAAATACTTTTCAATTTAGTTTTATTATTAATAAATTTAAACTATTTATAAGAAACATACCTCCTCCTTTTATTTTATATAGAACAATGTATCCCGTAATTGCGCTATGTCCTCCAAATGGTTCTTGCCACGAGATGGTTAAACTCCTTCCTGTTTTAGCTACCACTTCGATATTGGAAGGTGATGCTGGAGCCTCTGGTGATGATAAATTTTATTTAGATTTTAAATTAATATAATTTCACTCATCAAAACTTTACCTTGCACTATAACTTGAAATGTTGCTTCAGAAACACCATAAGCATTCCCTACTGTGCAAGCATATAAACCAGAATCGTTTCCTACAACTTTAGATTTAATTAGAGTAGCTTCAATACCAGTATTTATTTCTTGAAACCCGAAACGAAATCTGTAAAAATAAAAAATAAAATATAGCATTATTATAAGATAATTATGCAATTAAACTTATGTAATGAAATATTTTAAAGAAAACCTCTGAAGGATATTTTTAAAAAAAACTTATTGGATTGGTGAAATGAGACAGCGCAACACATGGGCAATCTGCCAAGGAGGGACGCCTCTCGGGAGAACTTTTTATCAGAAACTGACCTCTATTTAGATATTGGACACGAGAAGAAAACACGGAAAAGTTTACATGGCCTATGAGAAACTGGTCCCCATTTAGGTGTTAAACACGTGGAGAAAACCCGGAAAACCCCACGTGGCCAGCTTGTTAATGAAGCGCGCTAGTACAGTACATATGATCATTAGCACTTCACGATATGTTAAAAATCTCGTCCATCTTGGTTTGATGATGACGCGATGTTTCTGGGCTTCTTTTGATGGCATCGTCAGTATGAAATCTTACTGTTACACGTGCACGATTTCAAGATGCGATATTCCCGAACACGTGCCTACAACAAAGGTGCGGACACACGTGCATATCTGAAAGTATTGAGCCGGAAGTAGTTTCCCTCCACTAATCAACAAGGTCTATAAACAGAAGGTCTGGACACGATATCGTGATGCATCGCAGCAGTAGCCATATTGGGTCCTTTCAGGTTGTGTATACGGTGTTTCTAGAGCGAATTTGGTTATTTGTTTTTTTCAATCTCAATTAGTTGAATTTCTTGTTATCTATTTTTTTTAAATGGCTTGGTATTCAGCACCGAATTGTAAAAATTCTTCAGTCAAAGGTGTAAAATTGTTCCGTTTTTCCGCTGAAAGATCCATGAGAGTGATGATTTAAGAGTTAATATAATTAATGGTTTATTAATGGTTATATACAGAGAAACCAGATTTATTAGAATTGAATGATAATAAGATAATAAATTTCTATCGTAAATTATTGAAGAAATGTTGCTTGCCTTAAAGAATTTTTGTCCCAAAGTAACATTTTATTATTTAATAATGTACTCAACTTTCTTATTCTATGTTATTACATTAAGAAAAAACATGCTCTGCTTACATTTTAAAAGCTTTTTTTAAACAAATTTCTTTAGGACATTTAGCATTGCTTTTTCAGATTAAAAAAAAATATAAATTTATAACAAGAACCACATAATGTTATCATAAAAAATATTCACTAATCAATTATTTTTCATAAACATCTTACTTATATTAATTAAATTACTATTATTATTGTGAAGATTTTTATTGTGTGAGATTTGTAATTTAATAATAAATATTTTAATAAATAATTATTACTTGTTTAAAAGACTACAGAAAATTATTTTCCTCTTCTAGTTGATGTTTTCCTTTAGAAGGAACAACAGCCATACAAGATTGCTTGAATATATTCAATAAGAAACATTCAACTGAAATTTAGTGAATATTTTATAATTATTATTGCTTTAAACTTCATATTTTGATACAAATGATTCTATTTGCTACATATACTGTCTTTTAGTATGAGCATATTGCATTTTCTGAAGTAACAGTTATAGTGAAGTTGAAAAATACAATATCAGGTTACTACTAATAGAGATTTCTTTTAAATATTTTGTTATTAGATGAAAACAAAAATCTAGTATATAAACTAATATAAACTGTTTTAATATTTAACACTTATTCTAAAATGTTTGCACTATGCATCATTAAAGTGGTTTTAATTAATCCTGTTAAATTATATTAAAACATGGTTCTCAGATCAATACTAGTCTATAGACTGTTTGTGGTAAGGTTTTAGTTTTCTGACAGGTTGTATAATAACATTACATAAATTATTAAACAGAATAAATATTATAATATGTTATTTGTGGACTGAAAACAGACTTTAAAATTTAAAATAAAATACAGTAATTGAAATTAAAACTTTCAGTCATTTAAATTAATATTTCATATTAATTAAAAGTAATGGAACATAGTACAAATTGCATATTGCATTTGTAATTGCATGATCATTTTATTATTTGAAATTATAAAAGGAATTCCGTGGCTCGAACTCAAAGGAACCTACAGTACATAGAATGAAATCTATACAGTGACCTTGGAACTATGGACCCAATATGGCGCCCTCCATAAGGAAAATTGGTGTTCTGACCTTATGTTTATAGATCTTTCTAATTAACGCGCTACAAGAGGACACTAACGCGTGCTGCAACGTTAGTAGTGAGAACCGTAACGATTATGCGCTTAGTTGTAGTATTTTTGAATTAAGTATCCAGAAACATCCAATTAGTAATTAAAGGTTGAAAAAATACGATGTTTACCGAAAACGGAGCTAGAAAAAAATCCGTTATTCCGAGTTACTGATCAGCTAAAAGGAGGTAAATATACATTGATTTGGTGGAACCCGGAGGAAAAAATCCGCGATCCGTTAAAACGAGATTCTACTGTATATAAAAAGTTATTATTATTGTTATTTATTTGTGACAGTTTTATCTCCTTAACTGCAAAATTTTCAATCTTAAACATAGAAAATCACTTTAATATTTAAAACAAATAGTTATAACAATAAAGATATAAAATATAATAAATGATTCTATAAAAATATACAAGAAAATCAACCAAACATTTACTATCTCTTGATAATTATAAGATATAAAGTTAAATTTCTATAAAATATCGAATTTATTTAAGAGAATAAGATAAAAACCAATCTAAAAATTGAAACATTATGTACTAAAGTTTATATTTTCTTCTTTATTTTACGATATAAAATAGATTTTTAAAGAAAATGTTATCTAGTTCAACTTTGTAAAATAAATAATATTTTTCCGTGTTATAAAAAATACATATTCTGATAAAAAATTTACAGAAAAAAAGCTAATAAAATGCCATATAAACTCCATATATATTTTAAAGTTTATAATTATAGGCATTTGATAGACTGGAAGCGAGTTAAAATTCGTATATTTTTGACAGATTTATTTGATCAATATCCATATTTTTTTATTATTAAAGACGTTGATATTATTACAGATCTCACATAAAAATTTATTTATTTTTTATTTTTTTAATAAATTAATAACTTATCATTTGATGCTTGATACGATAAAAATGAAAACAGTTGATATAAAGCGAAAGAAAGGGATAAAGATAATATTTTATTTGAACGAAAGGGAGGAAGAAAAAATACATATTACTTGAAAATGCATTCTGAGTATTATGAAAAGAAATATATATATATATTTTTTTCCTTAAGTGTCGTCTTTCTTGCACTTAAAAACAAACATTATTTATAAATTATTGTATCAATTTATTAATGGTCCATTAACGTGCAAAAAATGATAATGATAAACAATAAAATTCCGTTATTGTAATTACTTAATGGCAAGTTGGATAATTATCATTAAAAATATCGAATTTTTATTCACTCTTAAACTTAATAAATGTTATAAATTCAAAGTTAAATTTTATTGAAAAAAGAAGAAAGATTGTAGAAAAATGAAAATTCCTGTTGAAATTGCGTGTATCGACTGAAAGCGTTATTTTCTTTTCTTTTCCGTCTGTAGGATAATTAAAGTTAGATTTCGTCAACAATGTTGTCAGACTAAATCAATTTAAAACTATACTTTGTCATTTTCGATTTTAGCATTTGATAGGTTTGTATGTTATTTATTTGTTCCTTTGCTTATTGCATTTTCTGTGAGAAACGAAATTTATCAAGACACGAAAAGCAGATATTTTATTTTTATTTTTATTCGACGAAATTAATAAACAGATTTAATTAAGAATTTTAATAAGAGAGAAAGAGAGATTTTAATAAATAAAGATGAATGCATCCGAGATGACAAAATGCCATTTTCCCTATCGAATCTATTGAAAAATCTCCAATAGATAAATGATTTATTAAATTTTTTTTTTAAATTGCGAATTGTATTATAAATTCTTTTAGAAATTAACTGAAGTTAAATTAAATATTTGATTGGATAGTCAGCCCGTAAGGAATTATTCTATCATCTTGAACGATTTCAATTCGAATCATATTTTAGAATATTATGTTTTGATTTTTTAGATTGAATCACTCTTCGTCTACTAACTCTTAAATAAGAGCCAGGTTTTCATAGAAGTCTTTCTACGCAAGTCGCCTAAGTATTGCATTGTTTTATTTCATCAATCCATCCACCTCTACAAAATTCAATTCATTAAATACATAAAAATTTTAATTCTGATCACTTCTAATAGATATCTTATATACAGAGTGTAGATATAGTACAAACATTGCTCCGGGCGGCTAACCGTATACTGTATTATGCAACCTAGCAGAGAAGTCTCACACGGTTTCAGCAGTCATTTTTTGACAGTGTCCAGCCGCTTCTCCTTTACGTATTTTAATCAAACAAAAAACGGATTTTACTGTTCTTAATAAACTCTACGACTTTGTTACTTAAACTATGCCGTTATTTTCCATAGGACCCGAGATAGGATTTATCCCATGCGAAAGGGGTTAGGGATGCATGGCATTCAAACCACCCATTACCTATATTTCAGTGTTACTTAGTTACTTCGTAGTAGACACTGTATATATTTCTATCTATACCTTCTAATTATTTTTTATGGATAAATTAAAACAGTCAAATAAACATTCTATTCTATACACAAAAGTTAATCCATTATTCATGTATTATACAAGTAAACATTGTTATATTGTTTTAATATTGATTGAATAATAATTCTCACTAATTAACTTTATTACAGACAAGTTTTATTAAATAATTAACCTATAAACAAATTAATAGTTTTTAAAGCTGATTTGCAGTAATTAGCTTAATGTAGTATATTTATGTTTTAAGAAATTATTAATTAACAAATTATCAAAAGATCATAGGCCTACATCATTACTTTGAATTATATATTACATCATTATAATATATTTAATAGGATTTCATTATAATTTGCAATAGAATTCACATATAGAATGCCAACTAAAGACTATTTACGTAAAGTTATAATAATTTTAGAAAA